GTTAAATTAAAAGGGAGAAAATCAGTTTTGGTGGAGATAAAAACATCAAAGTGTTAGAAAAGGGATTCACTCTTCTCCTGCTGTCATTCTACATGTCTGTCAATCTTTCACTCACCGAAATAAAAATTCCAGCGTTTCCGTGTGTCACTGCTCATCTTTACTCATCTGCATTTTGTTCACCAATGAAAACAAGTCACTTTAAAGCAGAAGAGCCTCTTGGGGTCGTTTGACATCTGGACAAGTGTGTGACAGACGAGCTGAAGTGGCAGTTAAATTGATTCTGTGTACAGAGGAAGTTTCCGCTGCGTGATCTGTTGATATAGCCGTTCAAAGAGAAAGAAATGGTCTGGAACAGAGTTCTGATGTATACTAATGCTAAACAAAAATGCATTTTTTTTATTCTGTCGGCCAGATGCAACACAGGGTGAGAGAACAACAGGTTCTTGTACTTAACTTTGGAACGCTTGGTTTTCCAAGTTTAGGCATTCCTGCAAAGCGCTGAGCTGTGGTTAGAATTAACCCAGAGGTGAATGGATTTAAAAACCAACCTAAAGACACAAAGACCGCCTCTCTGTGTCTGATAGCACTTTTTTTTGGGAACAGATAGTTTCCTGTTTAGGTCCACAGAGCTTTTAATGCACATTTTATGATATTTCTACTGACTTTGCTTCAGAAATCAAACAAAAGGAGGACATTTTATTGAAAATGGCTGTTCTTTGTTCAAGTTTGCATTATTCTGCCCTAAGACTTAACATTCTTTAATTTTTTTAATCAAAATTGCAGTTTCAGACAAAACAATCACGTGACTGCCAGAGCCGCAGCTCTTGTGACTGATCCATCTGTGCTGAGTGTGTTGTGGGAGCCTAATGTTTGAAATGACGGTGGAGTACCGACCACGAGCTTGTAAGGACCAGGTGAACCAGGGCCGAGCACGCTATCGTTTTCTGATTGAAATTTCAAACAGTGCAACTATGTGGTCATCAAGGCTGTGGTAATTTACAGAGCTTCTGACTGATCCAGGATCTGATACGTCAACCATTTAGGGCTTGCCCTTGGGTTTAAACGTGTTCCAGTGGTAGCAGCAAGCGCCGCTGGGGGTGGGTGGTGCTGGGCCTCATGCTTGAGCTGACATTTGGTAGTTTTTCTTATGGTTTTTTTTTCTTTTTGTGGTGCTCCTATTGCTGATACAGTATGATACAGTACTTTTATGGCTGTGTTTATTTTTCGCTGTTGCTTATTTTCTTTCCACCACTTATCACCGGTGATGCGGGTGTTGTACTGTCTTGGTGAAGATTCTGTGCAGTGATTCTGAGCTGGAAGGCAAAGCTCTCAATGTATCGTTCGATCTACGTTCCAACCCTCACCTATGGTCACAAGTTTTGGGTAGTGACAGAAAGAATGAGATCACAGATACAAGCGGCCGAAATGAGTTTTCTGGGCCTCCTTGCTTAGGCTACTGCCCCTGCGACCTGACCCCGCATAAGCGGTCGAAAACGGATGGATGGATGGATGGATGGATGGCTGGCAGGCTGGCAGGCTGGCAGGCAGGCAGGCAGGCAGGCAGGCATTTTGCACCGGTAGTGAGATGGAGAGACTGGTTCACCTACAACAGCTGAAAGAAATTTACTGTAATAATACGATGGACTTTTTTGATGGCACAAGCCTTTGCTAAGTTACTGTAATTAAAGCAAATGTAAAATGTGTCGCCGTTCGATGTAAAAAAAAACATTCAGGCAGCCCGCCTTGATAAAACTGTGCAGGGAAAACTCTGTATTAGGGCTGGGCGATTTGGACCAAAACTTATATCTCTATCTTTTTGCTGAATTCGGATATACGATATGTATCTCGGTATTTTTCCTCCTGTAAAATATTTACAAGTTAACTCACTTCAAGCTGTCTTGAGAAATTACGTACATAAATCAGTAGATTAAATGCAAAAAAATGTATTGATTCTTGTCAAACTTTAACCTTGGTGCCTATTCTCTGATACAGCTGTCTGTTAACACACACACACACACACGCACACGCACACGCACACGCACACACACACACACACACACACACACACACACACACACACAGTTGAGAGCTAGATGTGTATTAAATGTCCCACAGGCACTTTTTAATTATACATTTATAATTAATGTAAAATTATTTAAGTTTCATCTAGAGGTGGCCCATATCGTATATTTCTTGTTCAGAGAAAAAAAAATCTATCATGTTAAGCTAAGTGTTTGATGATGTAATTGCATCTACTGAAGATCACATGGGTCATGCCCCGTGGAGTTATTAGTTATCAAGACAAACATGGCTGGAATCTAACAGTATTGACTCATATCAGCAATTATACTGTAATGACTCAGAGTCTCTAGTTGCTCTTTTATGAGTAATGTTTTCGGGCTACTATTGCCGTAACCCACGCCTTACAAACTCTCAACTTTTTCAACAGAATTCAAAGATACTTTATTAATCCCAGAGGGAAATTAGAGAATCACTCGTAACGGAGTATTTACTAGCATAGCAAACCAGAGCGGAAAAAAATAGAACCAGATCAACATTTCTCACTCGTTGAGCTCGCCTTCAGAATAAAACATTTACCCTATAGTTTACTATTCAAACCCTCACAATATGTTTGAGGTAATTTGGCCACTCCGGCTATCCGTAAATGTTTCCCATTACCCGGGAGGGAGGGGTTTTGCTCATCTCCGCACAAGCAGGATGGAAAACAGAATTTCGCTGGCGTTGAGCGCCCCCAAATAATTAAAAACCAGGATGTCAAATGCAAAGTTTAGAGCAGCACATTTACTCAGAGGCTCTCAGATTGAGCTAACTTGTATGAATACACGTAATAACCGCTTAGAGACGGAGCAGCATGTCGTTAGCATAGCAGTTTGACCAGTTATATCGATATAAAGATGTAAATTCATCTCGTATCTTGTTTAAAAATTATATCAATATTTTAAAAATATCTATATATCAGCCAGCCCTAATATATATGTTTTAGCAGCACATTGATTGTGAAAGACAACTGAACACACTGTGTGCAATATAAATAAAAAGGTCAATGAATCTCTTAATATGTATTGAATTTCAAATATAAAACAAACTCTAAACATTAAACAGTTAAACAGTGAGTCGTGGTGGATGGCTGCTTATACTGAACCAGGATCCTCTGGAGGTTTCTTCGTGTGAAAAGGGAGTTTTTCTCTCCACCGGTGCTGCATGCTTGCTTAGTATGAGGATTGCTGTAAAGACACTGACACTAGTCAGTGACTTGATGCAATCTGTTGGGTCCCTTATGTAGGAAACTTTTTACTGATTGGCTTAACGAACTGACCTGTACTGGAGTGTGGACTGTGTGAAGTGCCTTGAGACAACTCTTGTCGTGATTTGGCGCTATATAGCTAAATTGAATTGAATAAAAAAAAAAGATATGTTTGGGTCCTTCGGGTCCTTTTTTCGGTCTAGTAGTGGTTGCAGTTGGCCACACAAGTGCCTGATTTAAATTTTTTTTATCGACTTTTAAAAATAATTTCAGCCAATGGCTGATATAGAAAACATTTAGTAAATCGGCCGGCCTCTAGTCCTAGGTTCCGCCCTATTCGGCTCCTTTTGAACACTGATTTTATCTTAGAGCTCCATAAATTAAGCCAAGAATTCATCAGCTTTTGTAGCATCATAAAGGGTGACGTAAAATCATCCAACACCATGCCTTCCTTTAAACTATATATGAAAATAGTTTATCTGAACATACAGTTCTTTGCTTTTAAGATATTTTTTTATGAAATTTGAACTTGTCATTCGTTTGTCAGAAGTGGTCTGCAGAGACAGGTTTGAGTTTGTTCTGATGCTGTACTGTTCTGCTGGGATTCTTCTTGTATGTGTGTGTCTGATTATGGGTCATGGGAGGCCACAGGACCGTGGTGGCTCAGGCAGCCTCAGGCCTCTCAGGTTTCAGAGCTGAGCATTCCTCGCTGACTGCTCCATAGCTGTGAAAACCGCAAAACAGCTCCGACAACAAACACTCGAGGCGCTGGGGAAAGACAGCTAACCTGTGGTTAATCAACAACAGGAGCTTTGCCACTCTCAGAAGGATTTGTTCCCAGTTTTTTCAGGGGGGGGGGGGGGCTTTGATTCTGATCTGAATTGATGCATTCTTTTAAATATAATAAAATAAGTACCAGGCCCTTTGATATGGGCTGTTAGGTCCCTGCATGATCGGTGTCAGAGCTTGGCCCGCATTGGCGGCAGTAAGTTTCTGGTGAGAGTTGGACTCCGCCAAGGCTCCCCTTTTGTCACTGATTCTGTTCAGAACTTTTGTGGACAGGATTTCTAGACACAGCCAAGGTGTTGAGGTACACTATATTACTGGAGACTCTTCAGTGTGTTTGCTGGAGATACGCCATCGTGGCAGCTGGTTCAGGCTGAAATGTGAGGGAAACTCACCAAGACATTCTAAACATCAAAAGTTAGTCAATGGCATATAAATGGTTCCACTCCTTGTGGAGCAGTGGTTGTTGCTCAGATGCATGTTGATTCCAAATTCATGAAGGATTTGAGTAACTTTTATACCATTTGATGCATCTAAATGCAACTCAGTGCTCCAAATAGACATGAGAGTCAAGGGAAGGTAATGTTTATGGAGTTATTTTCCCCTCAGATGGTGTAGTTTAGGTTAATTAATAAGTTGTTTCACTGGTAGCTCTATTCCTAAGCTCTAACTGAAGGTATTTGTGGAGGAAAACATGAAAAACAATCACAGTCTTTGACAGAATTCCCTACTTTCTGTAATCATTGCATGATGATAAAATCAGTGAGTTGTTGGATTATTAAGTAGCATAGTGGTCACCCTTCAAATTCACAAAAAATAGTACAACTATTTTCCAGAAAGAGATCATAATCATAAAAAACTGCTTTTCTGTAGGCATATCCTCATTCTTGGTTATTAAAGTGATGCTTTGGCATTCCTCCTGGTCTAACCTCACTGTGTCTCTCTGCAGAGGATTTTCAACTCATTCGTGTACACAGAGAAGACATCAAACGGAGAGACAGAAGTGCAGCAGGTGAGCAACAAAGGCCTATGCTGTCTAGTGTGTGTGTGTGTGTGTGTGCGCGCGCATGCACGTGTGTGTGTGCGTGTGTGTGTATATATGTCAGTGCATGTATGTGCCATTGAGGCTGACTGTGGTCTTGTGCAGTGTTGAATCCAGCAGCACAGAACTCATACACCAGGGGGTTTATTAAAATTCTATGGCTGCTGTCTCATCAGCTTTGAAGTTGTCTTTTTTTGCACTCGTCTGTCTCTGGCTCTACATTTTTTTTACCAATATAAAGTCAGACACAGTAAGAAGATTTGAAGGAAAGATGAACAAAATGCAGCTAGACACATTTCTTTCTCTAATTCACCCATCAGAGTTTATGGGCTGCATCTTTGGCCTCATAGTGGAAAAACTACCCAGAGTTTGTGGCATCTGGTGTCAAATCAAACCCAACTGAGAGCAGGCGCGTGTGCGTGCGTGTGTGTGTGTGCGTGTGTGTGTGTGTGTGTGTGTGTGTGTGTGTGTGTGTGTGTGTGTGTGTGTGTGTGTGTGTGTGTGTGTGTGTGTGTGTGTGTGTGTGTGTGTGTGTGTGTGTGTGTGTGTGTGTGTGTGTGTGTGTGTGTGTGTGTTTGCTCTCCTGCATCAGGGATCTTGGAAGAGTGACAGTATATGCCACAGAGGTAAACAGCCACCAGCAAGAACAGACAGGTTGATGATTGTTTGCATTTCTCCCAGTGACTGTATTCCTGCGTGAGCATTCGTGTTTTCTTCTGTGTGTGTGTGTGTGTGTGTGTGTGTGTGTGTGTGTGTGTGTGTGTGCATATTCAAAATACAGTATCTCACACCTTGCTGGTATTTAGTATTCCAGATGAAACTCAAGATGGGATTTGGAAAAAAGGAAAAAAAGGAAATATTTTCTTTTCCCAACAGAAAATCTGGAAACTTTGTGCTTTAGTTTCAGACTTTGAACACATTTTTTCACCATAGTTCAATCAACAAAGTAATATCTTTTTTAAACACGTATTTATGTGTGCTTACCTTCTCAGTGGCCTAGTGGCGGAGTGTCCGCCCTGGGACTTGGGAGATCGGCATTCAAATCCTGGTCGGGACATACCACAGACTTTAAAAATGGGACCCAGTGCCTCCCTGCTTGACACTTAGCTGTAAGAAGTTGGATTGGGGGGTTAACCACCAAATAGTTCCCGAGCGCAGCCTCAGCTGCAGCTCACCATGAGGGTGGGTCAGATGCAGAGATGAATTTCATCCGTGTGTGATGACTAATGGAACTTTAACTTTATAGTTTGCTTAAATCCCAGAGTAAAGTTGCTGATTTCTGTGTCCCACTCAGAAATTTGAAGCAGACCCCTCTTGAGTCAGGTTCCAACTACTTCAGATTATAGCTCTGACATCCTTGGCTCACTTGTGCTCTCTAGGCAGGGCGGCCGTGTCCCTGAGCTATGGTGAGGCTCAATTAGAAGGCTATCTGCAGAGAAAGAGAGAGTTGGGAGGAAGTGGGGAAGGAGGACAAACACAAAGGAGCCACCTCCATGTTCAGCTAGTTTCTACTGGAGGAAATTCATTATTCAGGAAGATGTGCGGACATCTGTCTTCCTCCAATGGCAGGCACTCCTCACTTGGTGTCTGTCTTTGTCTCTGTGTTTTACTCACTGCCGTGTGTTGTCAACGAGAGTATCATAAATTTAAACTGGCGGCAGCTTTTATTTTTAGCTCCCATGTTACAATAAGCTCAATGGAATTAAAATTCACCCTAAAAATAGTCAGTTGAGGGTTCAGCAGGTGAGTCCTGTAGGGGTGTGTGTTGTCAAAAATCTGTTGATACGATAGATAAAATATATTGCAATACCAAAAGCCAGATGATATAGGGAGCCCAAGTCACGCCCATCTACTTCTGGACCACGAGTCTCCGGAAGAATGAAAAAACGAATGCAAGTCAATGACGCTAAAAACGCTATTTTCTAATTGCTCTTGTTTTGTTCCATGGATTTCACATATGATGTCCGTGAATCTTAATTGCACTTTTTGATACCAGGAACGCGCTTATATTCGAACGGGTGGAAACGTTATTCTAGGTTTTGTGTGAAAATACGTCCACGACTACAAATGCGCTTCACGACAGTGACGTCACCGAACCAGACACGGAGAAAAACAGAAGGAAAATGGCTGTAAGTTCAGCAAACTTGAAATCCTTCCCTCAGGAGGAAAGAACCACCATAAATCTGACAATGTGGTGCTACGCTAGGGGAGAGAAGATTCTGTGGTGACATCATAAATCAGACGTGCCGATATTTAATTTGTAGTCATGCTAATTACGAACTTTTACAAGCTGAAAAATCTCAAAGTACGTGACAGGCGTGGTCGAAACACCCATCATTAGTTTTCATTGGAATTGCAGTACAACATAAGCTTCCAGCTACTGTTGTGACCTGGAGACATCTCAAGACTGGACGGGTCGTATCGAAGTTAATCTGCTGGCTTCAGGTGCCGTGAAGTCCACCCGACTTCTGACAGTCCAGATCTGCTGGGGGGTCTCTGCCAGGGTTTGTAGACGCAACAGATTGCGTCTGATGCTGTTTTATTAATAATCAACTCTAGTTTATAGCAGACAACAAATTCTTTTACACCCAGATTTCACAATTTTTTTCAGATACAAGGTTCTGATAAACATCTAACTTGCATCACACCACCTACACATCACATTCCATCACCGCATATCTACTCCATCACATCTCATTATTCATGTCTTGTCATGTATAATCGTTAATTTAGAAATAAATAAAATTCCTTTTTGACTACGTACCTGACTCTGAATTAATACGAAGTGTTTTTATGGTCCCTGAACAAGTAAAAGTAACTAGAATCTTCTGATTAAACATTCAAAGATCAATCAGATTGAAATTTCATATTTATGTGGAATTATCACATCTTAATGGTCATAATTAATTTGCAGTCGTCACGCTATAAAGTGTGACTGCTACACAGTTTACCAATAAAAGGCCTGATGACACATTTTGTTTCCATTGAGGCTTTACAGAATTTTCAAGTAAAATGCAAAATTTGAAGCCAAGACAGGAAAATGCATGAATGTAGCCAAAAATGTTATTTTTTTATTTTTTTCTCCATGAGAAAATGACAATATAACAAGGTAAATAGCTCCTAAAAGTGACATTTCCATGATATGGCCCCTTTAAAATCAGAATAATTCCTAGTTTGTCCGTTCAAATTTAGGAAACAGTTTGAAAATATAAAATTGGGTGAGTTGTAGATGAGCTGTAGTGAGACATGTAAGATTTCCAGCATTTTGCAGTCCATGCTGGATTCGTGATGCTGCTTGAGCTCCCAGTCAGAATACAGGCACGACTCTCTTGGCATTTAAGGAACTGAAGCTAAAAGACAACCAGAATTGGTTCTATTCAAGTCAAACATTAGATTTGATTTGGATGATTCTGTTTTTCTATCTCTGCTGTTTCAAATGTTCTCTGGCCTGTACATGACGAATTGAGATGATGAGACATTATCTGGTTCAGATGCATCATTTGTTTTGGAAAGAAAATCTGCATTTCTTCTACAGCAGTTATTCTCAGCCGTTATCATGCAACAAAATCGTCCCTTTAGTGACGTTAATGATTGCTTAAGCTTAATTTATACTTCTCCATCAGCTCTGTGAGGGGGAGACGCACACGTATTGACAGAGATATTTTGCTTTCAGGCTTCTACGTCAGCTGGGGATTGTTACAGAACATTTCCCCGTCAGGACAACAGAGGGCGTAGCGCTATTCTGAGGCAGTGTTGCTACCATTACAGTCACGTATATCCGGTACACAATAGTGTATCTACTATTGTGTTTCTATAGTTTAATGTATTTCAGAGACTTTTTCACACACGCAAATTTGTCCGTCATTCTTCTTCATGCGGTTGGCACCTCTAAACTCACGTTTCTCGCCTTTTCCGTCCACGAATAAAACTCCTGCAGCATATCTTTGTGCTCCTTCAGTCACGGGTGAACAAACGTTAATATTTTCAGACTTTTTCCACGATGCGTTCTTCAATCTGTTCCGTGTCGGCTGGTAAATATCTCTTGACTTTTAGAAGCGGCAAAGACGGTGCTGGTGACGAATTAACTGGAAGCAGAATCCTGACCAATCACAAGCTTGCGTTCTCTGACTATTTTGATGGATTGTTACAAATTGGGACATGTCTTCGTCTTCCTCTGCGAGCACGTCGGAGGGCTCTTGCGCCGATGCATAATGGCGTTGCGCGTCTCCGTCCCAACGCAGACGGGGAAGTATAAGTTAGGCTTTAGATGAATTAGCCATTTTGTCTGAGTTACATCACTGATGAGTACCAAAAGACATGAAAACATTTTATGCTATCAAAGTATGCCATATTCTCTGCTCTTCAGGGGATTCAATTGAGCAGAATGATGTTAATGGTGGCGTTTGTGTGGCACTCTGTTGGAGACAAAAAGGGTAATAAATTATGGCGCTATAAACGGACCCCCCCCCCCCCCCCCCCCCCCACACACACACACACACCTCCCCCCGGATTTGTTCAGTGTTTGGAGTTCAGTAATGTCGATTTTAAAGCAGCTTCAACTCTGCTTATTTTCTTTTTCTTCCATTCTGCTTCACCAGCAACTCTTCCAGTTTGACAAACGCCAGTTGTTCAGCAACGTCTGCTGATGTAATTTCCTGAGTTACAGCCGATCCGCATGAGTTCACCACAAGTCCCGCCCAGCGCTTCTACCGTGTCATTTCCGAGTGCACGCCCCAGTTCAGGTACTCACGAAATACCCCAGGAGGTGGTCTTTGTGGGCTGTCGCAGTGAAATGGAGACATGCACATACCATGGAAGTCTGGGTAAATTACCATGGAGTTCCTATGGTAGAAACGGGCCTAATGAACTCTATAATAGAAAAGTTAGGAAAAAATAAACTTTCGGACCCTTAATTGGGAGTAACATGGCCACTTCTTCAGCTTTTTTCTCTATTTTAATAACCAGTTAAGAAAACTGCCAGAAACATGAGGTTGTTAGCCTCAAACGAAGGGTCCGTCTGGTAAACCTTCCAGCCGGGAGCACCGGTTCTAAAGGGTCTCCACCAAACACCCCCACCCCCTCGGCTGACTCAAGCCCACTATGTGCTGCAAACCCGAGCGGCTGGTTGTACGGGTCACAGCGTGGAAAAAAGAACCTTGTTGTTTGGGAGTGTGGTTATGGACCCTCCCTCTCTGGTTGGTGCATGCAGACTGAAACGTTAGCTGGAACTTGTACAGCCGAGCGTTTTTGGTTGCTTTCTTGTTCTATTAAAGTTCTAATCGTTCCCTTCCTCCCCGCCACCTTCATAGCTCTACTCATTTAAACACAGACTCACTTTTTCTTTTCCCTCCCGTCTGAAGCAAAAATGACTGCAGCTAATTGGCGTGAAATCCCACTATCGTCCATGGAGGAGCTGAACTTCAGGTCCGTGTGTGGCGGCGTGTTTGTGTGTGAAGTGTCCTGCTGTGTGTGTTGGTTGTGGCAGAGCAGCAGGAACTGTGGGACATGCCTCAGTCTCCTGTTGAACCATAATAGGAATAGCGGCTGGCTGATTAGGTGTAGGAGCGGTCGGTGGGTTGTGGCTTTTTTTCTGTTTCTGGCTTCGATCACTGACGTTTTGCAGGCAGCTGTAATTATGGGATGTGAACAAAGAGGATCCAGTTACTGTGGAAATAAGCAAGCTTCTGTATTCAGAAAGGCTAAAGTGGTGATTCAGTGGCTATGGGGCCACAGTGCTTTTGCCTTATTGTTGCACATGTTAGGAAGGTATTTTGGATTTTGAAGTTTGGATTTTATTCCAGCCATTAGCCAAAAATGCATTCCCATGGTGTCACCAAAATCTAGCTTAAGGTCTTCATCAAGTGTAAAATTTGTGCAAAGACTCATCAGAATGCCTTTGTCATCGTAGAGCGCGCACGCACACACGCACGATGGAATCACACAATCAAATTAAAACTAAATTAATAATGATATAATGTGACTGAATGATGTTGGAAAAAAATCAGTTCATGATCTGTCATTTAGAGCCAAATAACAACAAAAGAGGAATAAATAAGAACAGATGCTCATTATTATCCAGTTCCAGTTATGTTTTGGTTTCCTGTTGTGAGGTGTCTACAGTCCTAAGTAGAGGAGGAATGTTGTTATTGATGTCATTCCAGTAGGCTGCTGCAGAGCCGGTTATTAGTCTCCTCAAAGCTCTGCATCCCCTTTACTAAGTGCACCAGGAAAGGTGCTCAACCAGAACTGTGCCCTCGTTGAGAGAAAGAAAGAGAGTGTGTAATTTTAGGGACGTTTGTGGGGTGCTGAGGGCACGAGGAACCCCAGGAGACTGAATTAGCTCTTTCTTTCTTTCTTTCTTTCTTTCTTTCTTTCTTTCTTTCTTTCTTTCTTTCTTTCTTTCTTTCTTTCTTTCTTTCTTTCTTTCTTTCTTTCTTTCTTTCTTTCTTTCTTTCTTTCTTTCTTTCTTTCTTTCTTTCTTTCTTTCTTTCTTTCTTTCTTTCTTTCTTTCTTTCTGAAATTCAGTTTCCTCCATTTTATTTTAAAGTAAATTATATTTTAAATTAGGGATGGACAATATGTTGGCATCAATATCGGTATTAGCCGATGTTAGTTATTTTTTTCACATTCTGTATCGGTTCGATAAATAAAACCGGGCCGATATTAGCAACCAATATTTTTTCCATCTCGTCTCCATTTGTTTGCCTGTTTCAGGGGGTGAGGAGGTGATGTGTATTTTAGTCATGTGAACAGTGAATGAAATCATCTCAGAACCGTAAATGTGTGTGTGTGTGTGTGTGTGTGTGTGTACATGATAACGTAAATTCAGCTTTAATTATTTTCATTCTATACAAAATGTTCTGATTTTTATAAGCATTAATGCCAACATATGGGTTTAGACAAATATCTGTTATCGGCCATAACGGTGATCTTAACTCATTCGCTGCCAACGTTTCTCGCTGTTTTTACTGTTTTTTTTAAGAGTCACTGAACGTTGCACGCTAGGATGATGTCGACGCCAAAACAAAGAGGAGACTCACCTCTTACATCAGGAAGAATCCGCGCGTTTTGAGCGTTATCCGTTCTTTCACAATCCGTTGTTGAATTGTGATCGGCAGAAGCTTTTCCGGTTCGTGCCTCACTTTCTTTACAGCAGCGACCCAAAACGATCTCCTAACACATGGATTTTCTGCTTCCTGATCACGTGACGTGTGACGTATGCGGATGAAGATCGGCTTTAGAGCTGAGATGTTTGTTGTCTCGGTGCCCGGGCTCGTTCCGACGCCCACACAGTAAAAACATGCAAATGGCGACTTTAGTCATCATTGGCAGTGAATGAGTTATCGGATATCGGTATCGGCCCAAAAATTTCATATCGGTGCATCACTATTTTAAATGTCTGACTTTCTAGAGAAATCTAGGGACATTCTACATATTTGTTTGTCCTTTTAACATTTAGTAAGCATTTGGAGTCGGGCTGGGCGATAAAACGATAGCAATATTTCATTGTTTAGTCTATTAACCCTCCCACTGTCCTAATGGGTGTGACCCCACGAGGAAAGTTTACCATTGAGCAGGTTGATGGCTTATCCCTTGGGTCCACGTGGCAGGGGTGAGGACTGAGCACCACCTCACCTCTGCCACGTGGACCTCAAGCAATAAACCATCAATCCTGCTCAATGGCCAACTTTCCTCGTGGGGTCACACCCATTAGGACAGTGGGAGGATTAAATCATAACCTACTGACATCTTCAAATCAGAGATCATTAAAGATGGACAAATATGGTGATGTGCTTTGTATTGTGATATAGATCAGTATCAACAGATATGAAAATTAATATCACGATAGGAAGTTTTTCAATATCGCTCAGCCCTAATTTGGAGGATGAATCCACAGGTGTGTAAAAAAGTCAGTTTGTCTGTGTTTCAGAGTAAAATGTGGTTTTTCATGAACTTTGAGAAGTTTCTCCTTGGTTTCGTTAACGTGTCTGTGTTTCCTTCGTGCAGCTGGCTAAGAAGATTCGGGAGAAGTTTAACCGTTACCTGGATGTGGTGAACAGGAACAAACAGGTGGTGGAGGCCTCCTACACTGCCCACCTCACCTCCCCGCTCACAGCAATCCAGGACTGCTGCTCCATACCGGCGTCCATGATGGAGTGAGTTATTCCTTATTTCGCACTCTTTTGTCCCTTTAATGCAACTTTAAGAGTTCCAGCTTGTGGTCGTGTTCAGGTTTGTTCAGTCTTCATTTTTGATGCTAGAAATATTATTTGTCCACTCCACAGTGTTTGCTGAAAGGACTTGATACAGACAGAGGGAACTTGTATGGTAGATGCTAAGTTTAGTTTTAATGTCTGCTTAACACTGTCACGGTTGCTAGGCGATATACACCGAGGTAAGGACAGGAATACATTTGAAGGTCAGACTCCAGTTTCACAGGCGTTCACCTCCAGTCTTCTCTGATACCTGCGCAAGGGTACATCGACCAGCTAGGATGGGTTCTTGACTCATCCCCTGAGTTGGGACCCAGCCACGTGCAACACAGTAACACTTCCGTGTGGAAATTCAGTAACGCGTCTGTGCGCTTCCAAACGTTCCATACCAAAAGATCCTAAAAGCACATATTTAGAGGCTGTTAAACTTTGGACTTTTACTTTTATTTCAGGTTGTTTGCATTTTGCCGTTAATCTAATCATACATGAGCATAATGGATCTTGAAGTCCACGAACAAGGAGATACTGCGTTTTTAATTATGCAAAGCTTGACCATCTATGTTAGCATCAATTAGATAATTAGAGCAATAAATTTTTGCTGTCCTTTTTTTTTCTTCTTGAGCGTTGGACAACGAGGTCCAATTTTTCTGAAACTGGTTGTGGAACAGGAAGTTGTTTTAGAGAGTTTAAACCTGGTCCAGCGTACCAGAGAGAGACCCAGCCTCGGAGCCAATCATCGACTCCAGCAGGAGAAAACGCAGTTCAAAGCCGAAAAAAGAAGGCAAGGCTTTCAGGTCTAATCTACAGAGCAGCAGCTGTCTCTCTGCCCCGCATCCCCCCCCCCCTCACTCTCTCCCCGCTTCGCCCTGTCTCTCTTCCCTTTATCAGCAGATGTGACTAGTTGCTGCTCTCTGAAGTTTTTAGCATGCAGACTTTACAGGCTGCAAGGTCACCTGTCTGTGTGTGTGTGTGTGTGTGTGTGTGTGTGTGTGTGTGTGTCTGTGTGTGTTGGGGGGGGGGGTGTAAATCTGGCTCACAGCCACTAGACACCTGTATCCAAACCAAGTTCTTGGCATCTATACATAGAGTCAACACACGTTCACACATAAACATGTCGTATTCTTGCCTCAGTGTGTTTATTCTAATGTCAGGGATTTAAAGCTTCAGGGGATTGACATAGTAAAAAAACCACTTAAAATCTGAGCAGGAAGTACAGAATGATGCAGCAGAGTCACAGAGGTAGTGGTGGTGATGGACATGCCAGACTGCAGCTTTCTCTGATAGATCTCTGAACTTCAAAGCCTTTTCCAGAAGGGAGGAAACGGCTTTCACCTTGGCTGCTCTCAGTCTTGGATTCCTCACAGCAACATTTCAGCCTCTCTTGTTGAGATCTTTGCAGGATATCGTCTCTCAACCTTTTCTTTTTGTTCTTTAAAGTTCAGAAACTAAAACTCTCCAAGATTTTCTTTCTGCCTGATACTAGTTGGATTCAGAGAGCTGTTTATGCGTTAAAATACAGACTTGCAGCTCTTCTAAAAATGTGTTTCATTACTCATTAACGTAAAACTTTATTTAATTATTTTGCTTTAATTTTAATTTCATTATGAATGGGACCACAAATCCCCCCTTTTAATAAATAAAACAGCCTAAATACAGCAAAATCGACTAAAGGAATGAGCAACAACTTCGACGATGCTTTTATTTTGATAGTGGGTTAGCTAATTAGCATTTTGAAGGATCATGATGAGTAAAACCCAAACAAACACAGCAAAATTTACAGTTTGTGCACGATTATCTACAATAACAGACAACTTTATATAATTGTATTTATATTTCTAATATAAAGCGTTAGTTATTAGCTTTCTCCTCCGATGTTCGGAGTGTCACTGTTGGCGACACAATGCACTATGGGAAACTTTGCTGTCCCAAGTCCGCAGAAGGATGCATTGATGCTTCCTCGATACAATGGGCGGAGCAAGAACACATCCGGATTCTAAAAAGAACTGTGCTAGCTGGCTCCCTCTGATTCTGTCCTACTTGCTAACTCAGGCGGAATTGCAAACCTGTTTACCTTTGAATGTGAGGAGAAGAAGTTTTCTACCAGGTTAGCAGAAATAAATGGACTTAAACAGGCTCGTGGGGCAGCATTTACCTCAGGCTAATGATGGGAACACAGCCCTGTTAAGTGCAGCTCAGAGTTTGAGGCATCAGCTGCATCTGGGGGTCCCCGACAGGTCATTCGGTTTATGGGAGATCAGGTGGTTCACACACTGTTCATGTTTTCTAGACATCAAGCTGACAGTCGATCTTTTCTCAGGAAGGCCACCGAGGGCAGCGCTTAGCGCTCCCTGGTATGCTTTAATCATTGCTTGGTCTTGGGAACCGACTGGATCTGAAAATAGCACATAGCTCTGGCTTGTTGAACTGGCCCATGTGTCGTATTTGTCTCTGTATGTTTATGTTTTTAGCACGAGGTGTCCAGGTGCCCATTTCAACACTTCTGACGTCATGTTGCTTTAAAAGTGAGAAGTGTGCTCTGCAGCTGCAAAGCTGAGACTTTTCACCAGGCTCTGGTGAAGATAAACACTTTAAATAGTTATTCCGAGGATTGTAAAATCTACTTTTAAGATGGAATAAAAAAAATTTCTGGAAAAAAAGATGACATGTTTAATGGTAATTCCAAACTTGTTTTGTTTAAGGAGCAGGTTCACCGAAAACCACGTTTTACTTTTAAAAGTGATCAGTCACTCCTATTTTCATGTTCAGCCTGCATGAAAAACTTCTCCCACAGCTATCTGCTGCATTAACTTCTGATAAAAAATAGACGGTGAAACTCTAGGATTAGAAAATCCCGACAGATCTACGTCACACTGTCACTTAACATTCATGGACTCACAACAGGGAAATCTGATGTAGATTTAGCGTCTAGGAAACGGCAGAGAACGTCTCAGCTAGTAGAAGCTAAATGTTAGAATTAGCAGCTCCACCACACAGCAGAACTCCTCCAGAGTTTTGTTATTTGTGGCGATAAAATATTAATGTTGCAGTGCAGAGTCGGTGGTAGAGTTGTATTACTGTTAGCCAATTAGAGTCGAGATGTCCAAATATCAGGAAATAAGTCTTCAAATCCTGTCGTCTGAAACTACTTTTTCCTCCGGCTCACTTCTACGTCCACAAACTGGCGCACCAGAGCTTTTCCCCCAGAGAATGACTTACAATGCATTCATTCCTAATAGAGAGCACTGCAAATGCAGTCAAATCTGTGTAGTCAAAGTAGGGCTGTCGCGGTTGAGGAATTCCCCCTGCGGTCATTCAGGGTGGCTTAATATTGCAGTGTGCGATATTATTGCAGCACTTTTTTTTATTGCAGTACTATCTAAACATTATGTTTACACATTTAAAAAAGGTTAAAAATTGCCGTGCCTTCTTTTATAACACTTTACTGAATGCAGATCAAAGGGCAGTAACAACACAGATCGCAGTAACGTTTGTTTCTCCGACAGTCGGAGTCTGACTGAACTTAAAAACAACAAAATTCAGGAGAAGGTTAAACTTTTAAATGCAAATTTGGCTGCAGCATCTAACAAATAAGAAACAAGTCCCCATGCGGGGGCACTATCATTTCACTTTCACTTTCACACACACGGATGACGGTGCTTTATAGCTCGGTCACGTCCTTGTTACCCACAAGGAAAACCAGCATGTTAACCATATACGGTTTGAGAGAGGATCTGAGAGGGGTGGCAACATTTCCAGCAACACTGAAAACCCTCTCGGATGGTGCGCTCGTTGCACTAGCACACACGTACCTGCGTGCGACTCTGGCGAGCAAAGGGAATCTCTCCCGGTTGTTGCTCCACCATGTCAGGGGGGTTTCTTTAGGGTGGATGCATTCCTCCTGCAGGTAGCAAGTGAGCTCCAGCTCGGCTCAAACTCTCTTCAGGACGGTTGCAGAAGCAGTGCTTGTCCGGGACTTCAGGAGGTCTCCGAGCGTTTATTATTATTTTTTTGCCGCTGGTGGCAGCTCTGTCTCGGCCAAGGACCCTGGCTGCGCAGCAGCTGACGTACTGAAAACCAAAGTGCTCCCAAAGGAGCGAAGTAACGTTTCGTTTTGATACCAGTGCAGCCATCCTTCTCAACATGCATCATTGAGTTGAACCAAGTTCAGTAATCGCGGTGGCGCATGATGCAGCGCGGTGGGTTTCTTCATATTGCGGTATTTCATTTTTGCGGTTACCGCGACAGCCCTAAGTCAAAGAGCTAAGTATTATATGTACCCTATAGGAGTTTCATTTTTATAATTAAGCATTTTCTAGCTTAACTCATTCGCTGCCACCTGTTTCTTGATCAGTAAAGCCCTTCGCTGCCAGCGTTTCTCACTGTTTTTACTGTTTTTTAAGAGTCACAGAACGTTGCATGCTAGGATGATGTTGACGCCAAAACAACCAAAACAAAGAGGAGACTCACCTCTTACATCAGGAAGAATCCGTGTCATTCGAGCGTTATCCGTTCTTTCATAACCCGTTGTCGAATTGTGATCGGCAGACGCTTTTCCGGTTTGCGCCTCACCTTTTTTTTTACAGGAACGGCCCAAAACGATCTCCTAACACATGGATTTTCTGCTTCCTGTTCATGTGACGTGTGACGTATGCGGATGAAGATCAGCTTCAGAGCTGAGATGTTTGTTCTCTCGGCGCGGGGGCTCGTTCCGACGCCCACACAGTAAAAAGATGCAAATGAAGACTTTAGTCGTTATTGGCAGTGAACGGTTGGATCTAAAATGATGACTTTAGTCGTCAGTGGCAGTGAATGAGTTAAATCCAGCTTGAAGACATTTTCCAACTTACATAAATTCATCTATACTAATATCCGGTGAACTGCCAGTGGTTCAGATGATTGTTCAAACAAGTTATTTGTGGGTTTCTGTGTGCATGGGGCTGTAT